GCAGCTTGGTGAGGAGTTTTTGGATCTATAAGATCTCCGTTGTCGCATGAGCAAGGTCATGGTATTCAGCTTCCGTGCTAGATCGGGCAACTGACCGTTGTTTCATGAACTTCCATGAGACAAGGTTGCCGCCGTAGTAGATGAGGCGGGCCATGGTCGAGGTGCAATCCACGGGGATCACTAGCCTAATCAGAGTTTGCAAAGGCAACAATGGTGGGAGTGGTGGCTGGAGAAAGGCTGAGACCGAGGGACGCAGTACCACGAAGATATTGAAGAAGGAGCTTGCAATGGCAGGGCCGGTACACAAAATATATTGAAGAGAACCAATGACCTACTTGTAGAGAGTTATATCGGCCAGAGGAGAGCCATCGTTGAGGACCAGCTTGGCGGTGGCAGATAACGGAGTGGGCGGAGTCGGCCATGTCGTAGCGATGAAAAATATCGATGACATATTTTCTGTTGGGATAATAAGTAGTCAGTAGAAGAGGGAAGCACCACGATCCCCAAAAAGTAACCAACAAAACCAAGACTCTTGAGAGAAAACCGGGCAGCTAAGCGTGCCTGGAAACTAGCCAGAGCTGCCGTAGGAGTCTCAACCTATTTGACTGGCATTGACGGCGACGCAGGCATCCTCCACCCTCTGGCACAACTGGCTGGGGCACCCTCACCTAAAAATCCTCTCTCGTGTTATTCGTATACAGTCTCTTCCTATTACCTCCACATTGTCTATTTCATCGTGTGATTCATGTTCTCTTCATAAAAGTCACAAGATACTTTTTCTGTTTCTAGCCTCTCTAGTACTCAACCATTTGATTTATTATACATGGATGTTTGGGGGCCTTCGCACATTATTTCTCATGATAATTTCTCCTACTATCTTGTCATTGTTGATCATTACACATGCTATACATTGCTCTACCCTCTTTCCCGTAAATCTGATGTTCATACTGTTTTCACCGCAGGCCTGAACCACAACTCGAGCTTTGGGCCGCTCAATACTACCATCCGCCTTCAGTTTCAAGGCATACACCCATCTAGAACCCAGAACTAGTATGTGCGGAGGAGGCCTATCAACCACAATCAAAGCACCCATAGCGTGAAGGGCATCAATCTCCACATCCATCGCGCCATCCCACACGGGATCACCTTTAACATGCTTATAAGAAGTAGGAACAACAACAACATAAACATTATAAGTAACAAAATCCTCATACCGACAGGGAGTTGTCCCTATGTGGACCGAAGAGATCGCCGAGGACCAGGAGCCACCAGAGTGGTAGGAGGAGAAGATGTTGCCGAACTAGAGGAAGACGAAGCTGATGACGAGGAGCCTGAGGATGCATATGGGGTAGGCGAGTCGGGGGGAAGTAATTCATCATCATCATCGAGCTCATCGTGAAAGGAATGAAGCGAAACAGACTCAGACAACAGACACGAGGAAGATGAAGATGTAGCAAGGAAATAGGGAAGACGCTAAAAGAAGATGACATCACAATAAATACGAAGATGTTAGGATGCTAAATCGTAATAGAGACACCCCTTGTAAATATCACTATAACCAAGAAAGACACACCGAATAGTTTTGGACGACAATTTGGTTCGTTCTTTGCGAGGAAGAAGAACAAAGCACGTACAACCAAAGACACGAAGACGAGAGTAATCAGGATGTTTATGAAATAACATGAAATGAGGACTACACTGACCAAGAACCGGTGTGATATGATAATTAATCAAACGAACATCCATTGCCACCGTCTCTGGCCAAAACCTAGGCGAAACGTGAGATGCAAGGAGCAAGGCCCGAGTTAGCTCCACCACATGTCTATTCTTCCTTCCAACCAAACCATTTTGTTAAGACACTCCTGGGCACGATTTCAACGTCAAAATCCCATGATCACGAAACAAAGCAGCCAAAGGGTGGGAGCTAAACTCACCACCAGGGTCAGACCGAACGACACACACTGTACGACCAAACTAGGTCTGAATCAACTTAATAAACTCAGTAGGAATGGACAACAATTCCGACTTAAGTCGTAGAAAATAGACCCAGGTAAAATGAGTGGCATGGTCGACAAATAAAGCAAAATATTTGTAACCATGTCGCGATATATCAGGCGAGGGACCCTAAAGATCAGTGTGCACAATATGAAATGGCTCACATATAATGGTATGGCTGGAGGGAAACGAGCTACGAGTGGTCTTGGCCTCAACACAATTAGTTCAAACAAAATCATCAAAGAAGCTATCAACCTTTTTATTATCCAATAAATTCTGTTTGACCATAGTAACTAGTCGACTCGAGTGAGAATGACCCAAACGGGAATGCCAAAGATCCACATCCGAAGAGTTTTGACTCGAAAAAGCAAAAGAACATGACAAAGACACCGACTCTCTAGACACCGAACCCTACTGCGCAGGAACAGAAGAAGACACACATGGTTGACCCGAAAGCTCCTCCCAATGAAAACTCCATTCTTGTTTACTTCCCTGACCGATCTGCCTCCTTGTTGTCAGATCCTGAACAACACAACCAGAAGCATCGAACACAACACGACAATTGTGCTAAGTAAGTTGACCCATGGAAACCAAATTAGCCATAAGCTTAGGTACATGTAACGTCTGGGGTAAAGAAAGCTTGGAATCCTCAAAGTGACCAATATTTTCAATAGGTAATCGAGAGCCATCAGCAACTTGAATGGACATATTCTTTAAAGGCCGAACATGACAAAGTTGCATTTTATTATTGGTCATGTGGTTAAAACAGGCGGAGTCCAAGAGCCATGGTTTAGAAACATTACCAGAACCCTGCATGGTGGCAAAAGCTGACGTGATGGTTGTGGGAAGAGACGATTGAAGAGCATCATTGATGAGACGCTCCACATTAGCAGACGTCAAGGAACGCACACTCGAACTGGCAGCAGGATGGGTGGAATAGGCCCCCGCAGCAGAAGACTGAGACGGCGCGGGAGGCCCTTGGGAGCGTGACTTCAGACGACGATAATCAGAAATAATATGGCCGCCTTTCTTGCAGAAGACACAAAAGTTACGCACCTTGCAATATTTCTGAATGTGACCCACCTCTTGACAGTGATGACAGGTGAGCTCGGAGACAGGAATGCGACGCTGGAATTGAGGGTGCCTCACCGCAAAGGCTTCGTCGGCAGCAGCAGGAACTTCTGATCGACGGAAACTAGCAGCAGCAAAGGCGTGGTCTCCAACCCCAGGCCTGGCGTCGAGTTGGACTGGGTACATAAAAAAGTTTCTTCACGTACGAGAGTACTCAGTACCCATCCATCTTGATGTCCTCCCAATTGATCAAAGTAGCCCGAACATTCTCAAATTCCGGCCGAAGCCGCATCAAAAATTGAAGCAAGCGCGGTTGAGAGCGCTAAACAAGAACATCAGCGGGCACCGCTGCAGATCGAAGAGAAGCCGTAAGCAGGTCCTGTTCCGTCCATAACAATTGCGCAGCCTGGAAATAAGAAGTAACATCAAGATCACCTTGTTCCAATTGCACAAGAGCAGTTCGCAACTCAAATTGCCGAGCAACACTAGTGGTCGAATAAGCAGACGCTAGATGCTTCCACCTCTCTGATGCCATGTCAACAGCCGCAGACCTAGAGCAATATTAAGGTCAAAGGAACCGAGCAGCTAAGACTTGATGCGAGCATTATTTTGGACCCATCATTCAACCTCTTGCACTGATGCGGGCGACGTCATTGGCCGCGGCAAAGAACCATCCAGCAGCGGAAGAAGACCTTTCCCTTCAACATACACACGAAACTGAAATTCCCACAACACATAATTCTTGGAATTGAGCCGAATCTAAAGCCGATCAGAATCGAATGCCGAAACCCTTGATACCATGTTGACTTAACCGAACTTAACTGTACAGGACAAATAAACGACACATCAATTTACGTGATTTCCTTGATAACGGGGCTAGTCCGCGAGAGAGTTTATACTCTCGGAGCTGCAATTATTATTAGGTTTTTTCTCCCTCCTCCTTTGGCAACCCTACACTCATCGGCTAGAGAAGAATGACAAGCTTTACTAGGCTTACAACTACAATTACAAAGTTGGGCTAATAACATTGGGCCTAATTTGCGAACATGAAACACCTCTCCAAAAATTTTATATCGCACATGTATGTTTTTTTGTTTCATTAATTTCCGTTGATCCATAAGGCTAGAAAGAAATCGAAGAATTTCCTCATTCATGATGATCAACCTCGACCTCGACTACGACTACTTGGGGTTGTTTCATATTTTTTTTAATAAATTTAATTACCTACTCCAATAACGACAGTTATTTTGTTTGCATAGACGAATAATCCAAGTCTCCAACCGTGACAGTTGCAAACTTAAGACATACATACTCATTAAAAAATGTTTATCTAAACTATGTTTATTATAATATACTCTAAAATATGAACCTGCTGATTCTATTAGTAACCAATCGGATCCCATATCAGTGGGCGAGGACTGATTACATCTTCTATATGACCAGCTAGTGATGATAACAAGAAACTGTGTGCGCCACGTCATCAATCAGATCGAGCTACAAGCTAGTTAGTGGTATTAATAAAAAAATAAAACTCAAATATTATTATTACCAAAATAGGACCAGAAAATCAAACTTTGAAGGAGAATGAATATTATATAATAAAATAAATCAGCAGTAACACAATAAAGGCAGGACATGCAGAAGAATATTGAACGGAGAAAAAGGTCATGGCGGGTTGGACCCGACCCAACCCAACTCGGCTTCCTCTTCTTCGATCAAAGCCATCAGCTTGACCATCCAGATACAATGGACTCAAGACCTTCAAACCACCACGTGTCAATAACGCCAAGCCACACGATCCTCCACGTGGACCAATCATAGTTACGTCCCTCCACTTATTTTAACGTGTATAAATAAACAAAGCTAAGCACCGCACTTAGCCATGCACCACTCACAAAACCACCACCACCCTTCTTTTACTCACTTAGCTTCCTATGGAGAACCGATCATCGGCGGAGAATGACGGCGGCGTCGGAGACGTGAAGTACCGGGGGGTGCGCCACCGTCCGTGGGGGAAATTCGCTGCGGAGATACGCGACTCGGCGAGGAACGGGCAGAGGATATGGCTGGGGACATTCGACACGGCGGAGGAGGCGGCCAGGGCTTACGACCGAGCCGCCTACGCGATGAGAGGCCACATTGCCGTCCTCAACTTCCCTCACGAGTACCCAATGGGCCGGGGCCCATCCGCTGCCTCGGCCCGCCGCGGTTCATCTTCTTCTTCTTCTTCTTCGGCTCATCAGGTGGTGGAGTTCGAGTACTTGGACGACAGGTTGCTGGAGGAGATGCTGGAGCAAGAAGAGAACAGGAGGAGGAGCCACCGTTTTGATGATTAATGGCTCTCTCTAGCTAGCTAGCTTGGTAAATTGAAGCCAGCTAGTAACCTTTCTAAGTTGATGATTGTGACCTATACTATACATATATGTATGTGCAACAAGTAGTATTCATATAGATAAATTTATGAGCTGACGGTGAAGTTCGAGACATAGGGTTTCGTTTCTACCTGATGCTTCTGCCCTGTGGCCGGAAATAATGGCGGGAATTTGTGAAGTACGTACAATCGCTGTATCCATCAATTTGGAAACCATTAATTATATACAAATCAACCGGCTTAATAAATATTGAGTTACAATAAAACTCAGTTCAATCCAAAAGGTCGAGTTGTTAGGAAATGTTCGATAATAGAGCTTATATCACAAATGAACACGTTCATTCAAACTCAAGGCAGTTACTCATATGAGTTTCAAGTTTGCACAATCAAAAAACGAGGGTGTTGGGAATCAAATAAACGAGCTCTCCGTCACATAAGACAAAAAATAATAGATCACAGTAACTCAAGTTTTTTAGAGACATAAAAGTTCAATAATAGATTTAATACACAAGTTAACCGTTACTTTATCCGGTTACGGATGGATATGGAAACCTTTAAAGTCTTAGTACTCAATTGTGTAGTGTCAATTTGCGGTTCTATTATTCAGTTTCATTAATCTTTCTAAGCCTTGTATTACGTATACACAATCTTGTTGAATCCATCAGACCAAGATTTGAAGGCCGTGCACACGTTAAGCCATGCAATCCATGAAGATAACTTACATGGTTAGAATGAAGATAACTTACATTTATTGTGTATCTTTTTCCCTTCAAATATGAACACCAATTTCCCCTTACTATTTCACTACTCTCAAATTTTCAATCCTAATAAATTTTCCCCTCTCCTCCTCAATCTTCTCCCGTGAGTGATTCCTCCCTTATGTAGTCGGATACCCAAGTGGGTTTAGAAGGTATTATCTTTTTTGATGAATCAGATGGTATTATCACATTAGCTGATTTGGTCGATATAATTATCTCGTCGATTAGATTAAGAGATTGACGAGTATATACTGAATGTTAGTCCTCCAGTCCACAAACAACTTCATTGCTTCTCCTATATAAGGGATGGAATCCAATAACGACGGCAGAAGATAATTATGAAGTAAAAACAAGATCTTAGTTTCAGCTAGGGTGGTTATACGGTCCGATCCGGTTAAATTGGTCCGAATTGATTCAGTCCCAGTTCGGTCTTTTCAGGAATATAAAAGATCAAAAATTGGATTGGATACAGTCCGGTTTTAAACCAGTCCGGTCCCAATTCGGTCTTGATTTTAGATTGAGCTTGTGGGGATTTGAGTCACCTGAGGACTCAAAGGGTGAGGAGTTGGTTAAATTTTGAGTGTTGGGTTCTCTTATTCGGTCTTTATCCGGTTTTCAATCCAGTCGCAAACGATTTTTTACCTCAAATCTAACCCCGAAAATTGGATTGGATTGTTTGCTATCCGAGTTCGATCCGATACCGATCCGAGTTATACGATCCGGTTTCGGATAAACCCAAATAACCCGGACCAAATAGCCAACCTAGTCTCACCTAAAGAGAATACTTAGAACTATCTATGTTATTTCCTTGTCTTTGATGACCATGCACTAACGGTGAACGGATGAATCGTCATTCTTTTCCTAGTTTTGAGGGATGTACCTATGGGTTTTCGACTAGTGTTCAAATAACGAGCGGACATGTAGTTGATTCAGACTAATCTGCATCGAATATTGGTGTAGTTCAGGAATTCAGGTTACGAAACCTAAAATGATGCAGGGCTAGTATGGGTGGCTATACAGTCCGGTCTGGTTAAATTGGATTAAATTGATCTGGTCCCAGTCCGGTCTTTTCGGTATATAAGGATCAAAGATTGGATTAGATATAGTCTAGACTTGATTCGGTCCGATCTTGACCTTGTCCGGTCCTAATTTGATCTTGATTTTAGGTGTTGGGGGTCTCTTATCCGGTCTTTACCCGGGTTTTTACCTCAAATCTAAGCCCGAATATGAGATTGGATTGTTTACTATCCGGTCTCAGTCCGGTCCGGGCCTGGGTTATACGATTCGGGTTCGGGTAAAACCAAATATGTTGACCCAAAACGACTCCTCTACTTGCAAACTAAATCCACACGTCGACGTTTTGGTTCGTCCTCTCCCATAACAAAGTGACGTCGTTTTGGCCTAAGAGATCATCCTTCGAAGTCAACTTCTGGACTCCTCGCTTGCTGATCACAGACCAGCAATCTCGATCATTTTGCCTCTCTTCTTCTCTCGAAATCCCTAGCTTTCCTATATCCCGCTCCTCCTCGCACCGACTCTATGCGAGAAACATCATTTAGGCTACTGCAAGACTGATTCTAGGTAACGGTCTGCTTCTCCCCTTAGTATAAAGATGTATGTTCTTCAAACTGTATAGATTGTACTTTTGAGAGGGAATTGTGAGAACTTCTGGGTTGAGGATTTCTTTCAATTTAGATCAAAAGGGTATTTTCATTCCAGTAGAAAGAATCGCAGGGTATCTGTTTGTACTGGGCGGTTCAATCTTGGGGAGTGAGTGATTGTCGAGTGATTTTCTGTTTCTCTGTTCAAAAGAGCCAAGCTGCTTGGCTTGGCTTAGTGTTGCTTGTACTGAACATTTTCATTCAAATAAAAGTCGCATTTTCAGTTCAAGAGTTGATTATTGTTTAAATCATATCACACTCTGATTTAACAATTGGTATCAGAGCAGGCTCTTTGAAGGACTTACAGTCGCCAAAGGGAAAGATCTTAAGATGTCTGGATCAACTTCAAATGGTGTAGCTTACTCAGCAAACACAAACCCTCCATGGTTTGATGGAACAGATTACACCGTCTGGAAGAAAAGGATGAGGATCTACCTGCGTGGAGTGGATGGAGAACTGTGGGCAGTTGTAAGAAAAGGACCAGTTCCTGTGGACGATGAGAATGAAGAAGATTGGAAGGAAGATCAAAAGGTTTCCTCCCAACTTGATTCAAGAGCCATGCATATCCTATTCTCAGCCCTGTCACCTGAGGAAAGAAGTCAAGTGGCTCAATGTGAATCAGCAAAGGAAATATGGGAGTCGCTCCAAACCACTCATGAAGGCACATCTGAGGTAAAGGAAAGTAGAATAGATGTGTTATTGAATGAATATGAATCGTTTGAAATGAATTCTGGTGAATCAATTTCTAGTATGTATAAAAGATTCAATGATTTAATAAACAGGTTAAAAGGATTAGGAAAAATCTTTGAAACAAAGGACTTAGTTAGAAAAATATTGAGGAGTTTACCTAGAGAATGGTTGCCCAAACGAACTGCAATAGAAGAGGCCAAAGATCTAAGAGTTCTATCTATAGAAAGGCTGATAGGATCCTTGCTAAGTCACGAAGAAGTGATCATACAAATGAATAAAGATGATCACAGAAAAAGAAAGGTCATAGCATTTAAGGCACAAGAATGTGATAGTGATTCTGAAATTGACATGGGAGAAGAATTTGAGAAAGAATTTGCCTTGGTAAGTAGGAAGTTTCATCGAATGCTCAAAATGAAAAGAGACTTTCAGGCAAGAAGATCATTTAATGATTCGAGAGGCTTTAACAACAACTCTTATGATCTTAAAAGAGATAGAGAAGGCACTGAAAGAACTCCAAAAACTAATGATAAATATGTGTCAAATAGGAGCTACTTTGATAAAAATACCTCTAAGACTTATGAAAGACCCTCTGAAGGTCGAGAAAGGTTCAGATCTGATAAGGAAGACGTGAGGTCTTCCAATGAAAAAGATTTGACCATTTGTTTTAAGTGTGGAAAGGCAGGTCACATGAGATCAAGGTGCCCTACCAGAGCAAAAGAAAAAGCACTTGCAGCCTCCTGGAGCGATTATAGCTCAGAAGAAGAGCAAGAAGTGAAGAATCTAGCATATATGGCCTTTGCCACCAGAGATGAAAGTGACAGTCAGTCTTCATGCAGCCACAGTCCACTAGTGCCCTCAAACTATCAGGTAATTTCAGACTCAGGCTCGGATGTAACAGAACTAAAAACTGAATTTCTGCATGAGCTAACTAATCTTCAAGAAGAATGTAAGAGGCTAAAAAGTAAATATTGCATGCTTATGACTGATTATCAAGCTCAAAAGGAGGAAATCATTGTTTTAAAGAGAAATTTGAGTATTCAAAGTGACTGGAACAATGAACTTAACAAACATGTTTTTGAACTTAAAAATGAGAATCAGAGGTTAAGAAGTACTTGCAAGAACAACACAGTTTTCTTGAAACAAGAGAAAGGTGGATTTGAAAACAGAAATCTCTCTCAAACTCAAGCCACTGTGCACAAAAAATTTGCAAAATATCCTGTAATCTTCACCTGTTCTTTCTGCAAAAGAAGAGGACATGTAGCAAAGTTTTGCTATGATTTATATCCCAAGAAAGCAAGAGTATCCAAAACATTTTGGGTACCAAAATGCACTAATATTTGATTGATTGCAGAATGAGGGAGAAAATGTGAATACATGGTATCTCGACAGTGGTTGCTCCCACCACATGACAGGTAAAAAGGAACTTTTTTCTTATTTAAGCTATAAAAGAGGAGGTAAGGTCGTATTTGGTGATGATCATGTAGGGATTATTATGGGAAATGGGACAATTGGTAAGAATCCCCTCCCAACTATTAAAGATGTGTTGTTTGTTAAAGGTCTTAAGCATAACCTGCTGTCTATCAGTCAACTGTGCAACTCTGAAAACAAAGTTGTGTTTGAGTCTTCCTCATGTGAAATCATTAGAATAAAGGATAATAAGTTGCTGTTTAGTGGAATTAAGAAAGATAATATGTATGTGGTTGACTTAAACTGTCTGAGTTCGTTTAATGAAACATGTTTTCAAGCTAAGCAATGTGACCTAGAAATGTTATGGCATAGGAAACTAGGCCATATAAGTCTCTCAAAGTTATCAAAACTTTCTAGAACAAATTCAGCCCGAGGAATCCCTTTGTTAA